TCACTTAAATCATTTACTAATTACAACTGTTTGCTTTTAAACATTTCAGCAAAAATTTCCCAGCCGATAAATATGTTAGTTACGATAAAGCCAAAGAACGTGTAGCCATGGTTCTTTATAGTCATCATTACAGCGAGAAACCCGTTAGACCTTTAGTACCAGCACTTATTGAAATTGGTGGTATACATATTAATGATGAACCTAAGGCTTTAGCTAAGGTAAAAATTTTTCACAATCATAAACTTTAAGAAATTATTAATTGCTTTCAACTATTTTAGGATCTAAATGACTTCATAAACTCTGCCGAAAATGGTGTTATATTTTTCAGTATGGGTACCAACATCAAAACTCATCATATGCCGGATAAAGCGTTGGAAAAAATTTTCAATGTCTTGTCGAAGTTACCTCAAAAAGTAGTATGGAAAGTAGATGACGAATCCAACGTACCGGGAAATTCAACAAATATTCTATATCGCAAATGGTTGCCACAAAGTGATATTTTGGGTCATCCCAATGTGAAATTATTCTTTGGTCATGGCGGTAAGGGTGGCATAACTGAGGCTAAATTCTATGGTGTTCCCATAGTGGGTATGCCTATATTCGGTGATCAGCCCATGAATATGGTGGAAGTAGTAAGCAAAGGTTATGGTCTGAGTATAAATAATGATGAACCACTTACGGAGGAAATTATTTATGAAACTGTTAAAGAAGTTTTAGAAAATCCAAAGTATGCTAATACCGTAAAAAGATTTTCGTTATTATATCGCGATCGTCCTTTAAAAGCTAAAGAAACTGCAGTTTATTGGTTGGAATATTTGATCAGATACAAGGGAGCGCCTCACATGCAAAGTCCCCTAAAAACTATGTCATTTGTGGAGGCCACGAATTTAGATGTAATTGCATTTATTTTAGCAGTATTATATGTTATTATTAAATTAATTAAGTTATTAACAAAATTTGTAATTAAGTTAATGTGTAGAGTGTTGGGAAGGAAAGTTAAACGAGATTAAGTTAAAATTAGTTTTTATAATAAATTTAGTTTTTATAATGTTAAAGATAATTATAAGTTTTGTTAATAAAAAATAAAAATGTTTTTTTATAACGAAATCATATAAATTATTTTGAAAACTGCGCGCAAGGTTTACAAAGGTGGCCGGACAGACGAAAGAACATGACTTATTCTGCAAGGTGGGTAATACCCACTGGGTATAGGATCAAATTTTAGTGCGTTAGAAACATCACCACAAACCATAATAGTGGTATTGGGCGTAAAAACTTATATATTGCCTACAAATATCGTAAATTTCAACAGAAATCAAATTTAAATAATGTTGCTTGTCAAAAATGTTCTATTAATTTTGAAGGATAACAAGGATTTTGTGTTGTTTGTAAGAATAACATTTAACGGATTTCCTTCTCTAACACAAACAAAGATAAATAAACAAATCCTAATATATGAAGTTTTCAACCTTGCAGTTCGTGGTAACAGTTCAGTACCTAAGACTCACTTTTTTGACGTTTCTCGAATAGGAGATATTAAGAGAAGACTAATATTAATAGAAGTTGCTGATATTTCAAAAACAGTTATAGGAATATACTGTCCGATAAGCTTGATCTCGTTGTCATAATAATATAATTCGTAAAACCTGGATTGTTTTTCCGACCCAAATTTACAACACGAGAAATATTTGAAACCTATATCTTCAGATATCATCCATTAACATACATATACGTAGACAGTCTTGCATCCTTTAAAGGTTTCATTTCGAATGTGATAAGGTCGAAAAGTTTTAACAATTTCTTTTTATTCCTGTTTCAAGTTGGATAATACTCTGTCATATTAAAAATGAAATTGACAACGAATGCTCAATTAACAGATGATACTTTGACGAAACAATTTTCCAAACGAATTTTTCATATTCCCCTTATCGAATAGTATCGACGAATCGGCGACCATTTGTCAGTTTAGCGTTCAGTAGTCACCTGTCATTCCGTAGAAAGATCTTTATGATCATGGGAATGGAACTGATGCAAAAATTGGTGAAAGATTGGGAAAGTCTCCATATATATCGAATAGTATCGACGAATCGGCGACCACTTCTCAGTTTAGCGTTCAGTAGTCGCCTGTCATTCCGTAGAAAGATCTTTATGATCATGGGAATGGAACTGATGCAAAAATTGGTGAATGATTGGGAAAGTCTCCATATATTAGAGACTAGTACTGATTTAGTATGCCTTTTCACGCTTCAGGGAAGTTTCTCGGTGCTATTGCCATCTTAACAGGATATATTGATTCATGCTACGCGACGGGGCAATTATTGGATTCAGTTGACTTTGGAAATTCTTGCATCCTTTGTTACAGATAGGTTCATGAAGAGGGATCCTGGTTTATTATCTTGGGTGTTTCGGGCTACCAAATACGTCTCTAGGTGCTGTTGCCAAACCAACAGAAGCCATCTCAGTAGTGTGATTGGGCGACTTTAAGAGGTCCAGGAATGCACTGGGGTGAATCTTTAGATGATGAGAATGTTTGTAGGGACATTCCTCATAACAACAACACCTGATATTGGGTACGCCCCTTCTATTGACTCTAATCAGTGATTGCTTTTTCCTTTGTCGTTGTTAGATTGAGCTTGCTCCTTCCCCAACGAGGCTACTATGGCAGGAGATTAGATAGCTCGAGTACTTCAGCAAAGTGCTTGTACATGGACCGGCTTAGCCATGTACAAAAATTGCCAACTGATTTCTTCATTGAAGATTGAAGGGGCGATGGTAGACCGTTCTCAAGGTTACCCAGTGGATGAAAAAGACTACCGTTAAATAAGGCCCTTAGGACAGGTGTTCACGTAAAGCACTTCGACATTCGTACTCAGTACTGTGTCCCCCCGGGTATGTTTCCTCGATGAAAGACCATCATCTTGGTGTATTGCAATCCCGTGGTAAAGAGGTGATGTCATTTCACTCCTCGGCTAGTCCTTGGAATGACCTAGAGTGAGTCTGTCGTATGTTGTTCTCTTATGAGTGTGTCTGATAATCGAGAAGTGTACAGCGTTGAATTGTGATGGATGTAAGGTCTCTTATACAAGTGATACCATTGAATTTTCCTTCCTTGTCCAGGTTTACCACAGTGTATGATCAAGAACAAAGTCTCGGCTTATTTGATGGATTTGAACTTCGGTCTACCGGTTACGTCACTAGGTCTGTTGTTGACTCAACAGATGCCATCCCATCTGCGTGGTTGTAAACGGAAGTGATGTTTTTGCATCTCAGAATTTAAGCAACGGGGCAGCAACGGTCAGAGATTAGACAACTCAAGTATTTGAGCAAAGTGCACGTATACTGAACCGGAAATTCCATTACGTAAATTTCCACCTGCATGTAAGAAACACAATGGGGCGGTGGTGAGTGGTCACAAAATCTCACCCAGTGGTCGAAAAAGACCACCGTGAAATAGGCCAACACTGAGTACTGTATAATTGGTTGCATGTTAGACCGTATGGTCTATCCACGTACACAAAGTGAAAAAGCTGCATTCCAGACAAGAATTTCATCATTTAACCAATGAAATTTTTCATTGTTAGCGAGCTAAACCTTCATTACATAAATAGAGAATGTTATATTAATTTTATGAATAAATTTTTCGACGTAACTGTGAAACTATTTCATAGAAGAAATGAAATTGGTTATTGTTAATAATGATAAATTTCATTCTAAAAACGAAATTATTCATTGTACTAATGAAATGTTTCATATATTAAAACAATGTAACAGTTATTGCAGTACTTATTAAGATTAAGAATAATCGTAATATTTATAATTTATAATTAAGGGTATCACCGGGTACTACCGGGCATGTCTGCTATTTATTTAATAACTCATATTACCAACAAATGTTTGCTTGTCCTTATTCCTATATTGTTTCACCAACTTATTTACCAAATTATTTTAATGTATCCTGAGACAAGGAAATATACTTTGTGGTTTATATGTATGTATTATGTTGTTGGTGTTTTAATTTTATTTCTTTTGTTACTATTTATTTAATGTACAAATTTGTATTTGTTTAGATTTTGTAGGCAACAATCACCACTACTTACTCCTCCTAATTTCTTCATCAGATAAAATTAATTCAAATAATAAGTAAAAATAAACATTCATCATACAGGATATGTAAACATTTGAAGCATGAAAGCATAAAAAATGAAAACAACGGAAAAGGAAATAGAAAAGGGTGGTTCGCCAACTTTATACATTTGCCTTTTGTTTTAAATCAAATAGATACAAAAATTTCAATTGTTAAACAAACAAATACACACAATATAATTTAATCTAAACGTAAATATGCCAGGAATGACAGTATGATAGGAATATCGGTAAGTGGACGACAGATTGACTGATGTTTTCATTGTAAGTGAGACAACCAGACAGTTGTGGCAACAAATGTTCAATGAAAGTAAAAGACCCACCAAGCATTTGTTGATTTTTGTTTAAAGATTTAATTAAGTAAATTTATTATTTTAACGTAGGATTCTAAACTGTAGTTGACTTCTAATTAAATTTACATTTACACTACAGTGAATAATTATTTAAACATTTTGTTATGTGTGATAATGAATTCAAAAAGATTTTAATTAAATACATAATTTTAAAGACAACATGTGTTTAAATATGTATGTGTATGGTGGGGGGGAATAATTATACATGTTTAAAACAACTTAGCTTTTTGATCGGACTAACTAGTTAAGATTATATATTTACTGCCTTATCCAAAAAGGATTTTTAAGTTAACATTGGTTATTAAAACCTGTTTTAATAGGGAAAAAGTGTATAGTAAACCTTTGTTAACTGTAATAATCGTTTTTGCATAAGGCAGTTATTCTTTTCGATAGATTGATTTTGCCCTTTCGATTGGTCGCAGAACCACAAAAGTAGTTCTGATCTGATAACTTATTAGATTCTAAGACAATCTAACAATATAAGTAATAAAATATCTCTTTTTTTATATATTTTACTTAAAAAAGTTTTTATTCCAATAAATAATTTAACATCTAAATATGGCAGTTATAATTTAAACTATACTATAATCTCAATATAAAAAATTTGGTCAAAATTTTAATATATAATACTCTCAGTTAATCCAAATTTTAACCTCGGGCTGTGGCAGCCACATTTGCCGCCTGTTGGGCTACACCCAAAACTTGTATAGTGGCATCACGGGTATGTTGACCAACACGTTCCTATAATTTAATAAATATTTTAATTAAAATTAAATGAAAAATAATTGTTATTCAAGTAAAACTTACAATTTTCTTGCCAATTTTTTTCAACCAACCCGCTTGACTTTGTCCAGCAAAAACAGCCAAAATCAAAGCAACAAATATAAATACTTTATTGAAATTCATTTTTTTTTTTTGTATTTATAATTAATAAATTATGTTGTGGTTTTGAAATTGTTTTTAATAAAACGTTGGTTCTATTCTGAATGTGTTTGTAGAATGATGCTGATTGATGTTTAAAGACTTGCTTTTATATGAATTCGTTTTTAATCATAAAAATTTCTCTAAAGAGGGGATTTTATTTTTTGTACTTGTACAACAAAAAGTACAAGTGATAGATAGATCTGACATGCATTAATATATTTATGGTTTTCCGTGAATATTAAATGTATTTGTATTAGTTATATGGATGTCTGATGAGTCAAAAGTTGGGTTTATATGACAAGGAAGTAAGTTTTAGTTAGTGGGAAACGGGGATTTATACATGGACAATTTCGTGTCAAGTGACCCAACTTAAAAACTCGATTTGGATGAAATTTGCACCAAGGTAAGTACTACTATTGGATAGTAGGCCAAAAAGAATAGTTATCTAAAGTCCTTTGTCAAAGATATACGAGTTTTTTTTATTTAATTTATTCGGGATATTTGTATTTATTACCCAAATCTTCACATGGATGTCAAGGTTGTTCAAGTAAATTTTGGGGACTCTAGATCCAATAGTTATCCAGATATACGAATTTTTGTCTTTAATTCATATGGGAGGTGACACGCCCCTTTTTGCTAAACGTTGAAGTTATTACGCAAATGTTTACATGGATGTCAAAGTTTTTATATATCAGATATACTGATTTAATATTTTATTTATATGGGAGGTGCCACGCCTAAATGGATGTCAAAATTGTCCGTATAAAATTTGAGGACTCTAGCTTTTGCAGATTCTGAGATATGGTTATTTTAATATTTATATGTATGTGGGCGTGGCAGACGTCTATAGACTTCAAACACACCCACAAACAAACAAACAAATTAACACAAATATTTTGCTCTGTAAGTAGTTTAAGTATTCCCGCCCCACTGTACATTGCAAAAATGTAATTCTAAAAATTTATTATTCATAATACATATATAGTATACTATTACACAATTCAACTATTCAAATGATACATATCAGTGACAAATATTTTTGCACTATTTATAAAATACCCATAATAAAATTCTAAAGCCACAATAGAAAGTATTTTCAATTTGAGATAAGAAAGATCATTTTAGATCATTTATTGTTTAGCAGGGGATGTTCTTTTTTCAAACGGTACAATAAAATTAAAACGACTTGTATATTCGTAATTTTTTTTATTGTTTTAAATTCCACTGAAATTTGTAAGCATATAAATTTGTAGACTTTGTAGTTAATACTAATCATTCAGTTTAGCTGAGTTTAACTGTACTTTAAAAATATAAACAAAAAATTACAATTGGAATTTCCAATTTTTTCAACTGGTAAAATGATTTAGTCATACCAACAATGAAAAAATTTAAAATGGACTTTGGACCTTTTTAATCCGAATTCGAATCTGCATCTCAAAGAAGGATGAAACTTAAAAAAAGATTAATCATTTATTTTGAAGCCAATAGGTAAGGTTTTTAGACGACATATCAAATTTTATAAATAGGTGTTTTCGGATAACATACATATTTCAAATTCTATGCTTTTATCTAGAACCTGATGAAATGAAGAAATTCTGAGTTCATATTCGAATTCAGAATAGGTCAATCCTTTTGACTTTTTTAAAATTTTGCCAGCATGAGTTATGAATAAGGACTATTATGGAATTTATATCCTACAATGGATCAATTCCCAAAGAATTGTGTTTTAATATCATAAATAATTTTTTCTAACCCATTTAAATCTCGTAGTAATATCGGTATTAGTAATACAGTCCACACTTTTCATTATATAGTTTGAACTATTGTCTATTCTACTTATAGTCTGATATACATATAAAAGCTGATAGTTTCTATAAAGGGTATATTCGGATTATGTGCCCTTTATAGTCAGGAATATAGTTTACTCTATAGTCGATTTTAGAGTATTCTACAGTCTGTTCTATAGTTTTGTCTATAATTCGGCCTACAGTCTAGTTTATATCCTTTACTATACTCTAGTCTATAATCTGGACTATACTCTAGTCTACAGACTGAACTATAATCTATAGTCTAATCTATAGTCTGTATTATAGTCTAGTCTATAGTCTGGACTATAGTCTAGTCTACTGTCTGGATTATAGTCAGGTCTATAGTCTGGACTATAGTCAAGTCTATAGTATGGACTATAGTCAAGTCTATAGTCTGAACTACAGTCTAGTCTATAGTCTGAACTACAGTCTAGTCTATAGTCTGAACTACAGTCTAGTCTATAGTTTGGTATATAGTCTAGTCTATAGTATGGACTATAGTCTAGTCTAAAGTCTGAACTATAGTCTAATGTAAAGTCTGGACTATAGCATATTCTACAGTTTGGACTATAGTCTATTCCATAGTCTGAACTATAGTCTAGTCTTTAGTTTTGACTAGTCTATAGTCTGAACTATGGTCTATTCTGTAGTCTGGACTATTGTCTATTCCATAGTCTAAATATACTATAGTATTTTTTCTAGTCTGGAGTATATTTAATAGTCAATTTTATAGTCTGAATTATAGTATATTCTATAGTCTAGTCTATAGTCTGGACTATAGTCTAGTCTATAATCTTTACTGTAATCTATTATATAGATTATAGTCTAATCTAGTCTACAATCTGGACTAGATTATAGTCTAATCTATAGTCTGAACTATAGTTTAGTTTACAGTCTGGACTATAGCCTGAACTATAGTCTAATCTATAGTCTGGAATATAGTTATAGTTTATTTCAAAGACTGGACTATATGTATATAGTCTATTCTAAAGGACTCTATAGGGATAAATATTATTTATAGTCTAGACTATAGCGAAGATTTCTTTTTTCTCCACTACATAAAGAATTTAAAATCTCATCCAATGACCTTTGTTTTCTTTAACAGATAGTTGACCGTATTTCCACTACATACATATGTAGGCTTTTATATTATTATTATTATTGCTACAGACATTGATCGCCCCAACTTTGGTTGAGTTATTTTTTATGGTAAACTACTTTCGACTTTACGATTATATCCAATATTGTTCAATATTTTTTGAATAGTTGATCTAACAAAATTAGAAACTAGTCAAATTGAAATAAATTATAATTTGATTGTATTTTGTATAAAAAATCTTCCAAAAATTTAATTCCGAAATAAATAAATATGTATAAACATAGTTGATAATATAAATTCTAATAATAAACTAATTAAATTACTAATTATATCTATCTTTAACCTCTAGCAGTGGCAGCAACATTAGCAGCCTGCTGAGCAATACCAATTGCTTGTATGGAAGCATCACGGGTATGTTGACCAACACGTTCCTAGAATTACAAAAAAAAATATAATAAATAAAATTCGGTCTTATATCTATTTAATTAAAACTTACAATTTTCTTGCCAATTTTCTTCAACCAACCGGCATGACTTTGTCCAGCAAAAACAGCCAAGATCAAGGCGACAAAAATTAAGACTTTATGGAAATTCATGTTTAGTACTTCAATTGTAGAGAAATATTTAAAATATTTAGATTGATTGTTTTCTATGCGAATGTTAACTAGTGATACTTGTTGATTTGAACTAGACTTTTATAGGAATTGTGTTTTAGACAGAAAGTCTCGTGTATTGAGTTGTTATCAATACATCGTTGACTTATAAGAGGGGATTTACGTTTCCATTCATAATTATTTATGATTTTAGGTATTCATTTAGTGATTATTTTCATATAAGTCATTGCACTAGTAATGTGGGAAACTACAGGCCCATTTAAAGAACGTAAAAGACAGTTTCGACATGACAAATATAGTACAAACTGTGTGAATATACATGTACATATTTGTTTTACGACAAATTATAGTAAAACTGCATCACAATAACAAACCCAATAAAATCCCCCAGCTTCTTTTCTTATCACTTAAAGCATAATATCAACTTTAGCCCCAAAGTAAATCCCCTCTATCACAGACTAAAATTACCTACACAGCTTCTTGAATTAAACGATTGCTATAAAAGTCTAATGACAAGCGATAATCAACAACAGTTTGCAATCAACAACTAAAGAACCTTCAACTAGAACACATTTAAATCTCTTTAAATTTAAAAAAATATATAAAATGAATTTCCATAAAGTTTTCATCTTTGTTGCCTTGATCTTGGCTGTTTTTGCTGGTCAAAGTCAGGCGGGTTGGTTGAAGAAAATTGGAAAGAAAATTGTAAGTTTTACTTAAATAAATATTATGCAGAATTTTATTTAAATATTTTTTGTAATTCTAGGAACGTGTTGGTCAACATACCCGTGATGCTTCCATACAGGCTATTGGTATTGCCCAGCAGGCTGCTAATGTTGCTGCCACCGCCAGAGGTTAAAGCAGAAAAATTTTGCATTATAATTTAATATTAGTATTATTTTGTGTCATATTTTGTTTAAGAAATTTAGATTATTTAAATTTAATATTTATAAGTTAAATGAAAAGAAAATAAATTAATTTGAATTAGATCATGGAATTTTCTTTATTATTTGGAATAAATACGAGATAGATAGCCTAAAATATAGTGCCTACCAGCACTTCCGAGGAAGATTCGGAGATAGTAAATTTCATTAAAAAGAATTTGTGACGTGGAAGAACTACTTTTCAAAGCTTTTCCCAAACAAATACGCAAATATAATACCTATACCAATGATGACGGCATTAACGTATCTGCTAACTAAACATATAGTGGTACAAACACCTATAACCCGGCTAAATCGGTGGGAACTTATGGATTACCCACAGAGCAAAATGAAGGCGAAGAGTTGGTATGGTGCATATACGTGGTCTGAAGAATGAATGTCTAATGAATGAAAAGTTAGAGTTCTGTATCCCAATCACAAAAAGGGAGAGCCATACTATCAGGTGTAATTTGTAATCGACTTATTTGACAACATGAATGGCAAGTATTAGTGGAGACTGCCACATGTTACGACATATCCTAAAGAAGACAATGTAAAGACATTGTTTTCTCTATATTTGTCGACTATAAAGTTGCATTTGATATCCCAATAAGGGAGAAATTTGATGTATCTGGAGAAAATCGTTCAGCTTTGCATTAAGACGTCGAAAGAGATCTCTAAAGCGCAAGATCTCGTTTTATTCCGAATACTGTTTTCGACAAGGCGATGCACTATTGTACTATTCCTTCTTCAGCGTATGCTAAGCTGAAGATATTGGCGTCATTGGCCACAACACACAAACAGTAAGTAGAGCCTTTTCATAATTGGAGAAGCAGTCAAAGATCATTGACCTAAAGGTGAATGATTAAATACCGAAATCAATGATGACTGCATTGACGTACCTCCTAACTAAACATATAGAAGTACAAACACCTATAACCCAGCTAAATCGGTGGGAACTAATGGATTGTCCGCAGAACAAAACGAAGGCGAAGAGTTGGTATTTTGCATATAGGTGGTCTGAAGAATGAATATGGTGCATATAGGTGGTCTGAAGAATGAATATGTAATGAATGCAAACTTAAACGACTTATTTGACAATCTGATAGGTAAGTATCAGTGGAGTTTTAGGTCAGGTAAGTCCACCACAGACCTGATATTCATGTTACGTTATATCCTAAAGAAGACAATGTAAAGACATTGTTTTCTCTATATTTGTCGACTATAAAGTTGCATTTGATATCCCAATAAGGGAGAAATTTGGTGTATCTGAAGAAAATCGTAAAATACCAAAAGGGCAAGATCTCGTTTTATACCGAGTACGGTTTTCGAAATGCAGTTTCTATGATTATTTCATTTCAGCAACACTCAAACAGTAAGTAGAGCCTTCGCATAACTGGAGAAGCAGTCAAAGATCATTGACCTAAAGGTGAACGACGACATATTGAAAATTGTTGATGTTTTAAAAGACTTCATTCAACTGGCCTTCGCACATGCAATCTCAGATGATTTCCCAAATCAAAAGCTGCGGGATTCACTCGTCAATAGTTATTGTTTATGATACTATTTTTTAGAGAGAGAATTAACTTTTATTAGTTTGCAGCAATTTAACAGCTAAATAAATTTATTTTACATACCTATCCTGACTCAATTATGGACCGAGCTCTAAAATTTTTTTAAGGAATAACTGATAATTAACCGGTTTTCTGCACATCTCAAATCCCAGATGTGATGGAGAAGTTTGGAAGCCAGATTCGGATTAAGAGCAGCCCAATCCTTTAGAAAAGTATACTTTGTTCTCTGGATTGAACATTTTTCGGCCTGTGTTATGGACCCATCCCCATAAAATTGGGTAGAGAGATTTTGATTCTTAAAAAAAAATTTTGTTTCGATTTTTTATATACTGGTCTTTTAAGTGAACTATGAACGTTAAAGTTACGTTCTGGGGAGGATCTGCAGCACGATTGTTGCATAATCAACGCATTTAATCAGTAGATGCTATCGTGCCAATGAGTATATCAGAATAAATATTCCGTAAAAGGGAGACCTTACAGACCCTAATAACTGGCGGGTATGCTAAGCATTATTATTAAGGTAATAGCATAAATATTCAGCCGAAGATTTCGGACATTGTGACGCCAACGATAAGGCAGGAAAAGGCTGGATTCAAACGTCACAAGTCGACTATCGACCATATACGAGTTATTGTGAAACAATCGGTAGAGTGGGGCTCACATTTGTATATATGCTTCATAGATTTCGAGAAAGCATTCGATAAATTAAATCACGAAGTGATTTGTAATGCATGTGGGAGGATCCAATTCATACGCCTCATAAGGAGCCTATACAGTAACACCTCTTGCAGAATAAAAAATGGCAGTTTACTATGGACACCTATTAGAACTCTCACCGTCAGTGATCTGTCTGTTCTAGACACAATGCTTGGTAGAGCCCTCGATAACAGTAGTGGGATAGTAAGGGAATTGGAGGGTCGCCTAAATGATCTTGATTACGCTGATGATATCTATCTACTGGCGCACTGCTACTCAGAACTAGCCGCAAACTTGCGAAATGTAACTCAGGCGGCGGCATCCTTGAAAATTAAAGTCTTGAAGACAAAACATTACGCGTAAATTCAGCCTCCCAAGATTTATATATAATTGGTGCGAGATAGAAGAGATTCAAGCCAGGATATTGATAATTGATTGCAGAAAGCTTGTCAAGCGTTAGGTCGCCTAACATCGAATTGGAAATTACCCTCTATAGCATTGCGTACGAAATTAACATTATTCAACGCAAATGTAAACGTGGAATGCTGATACTCGTGACATGCGTAAAATGTAAGTATTCGTAAATCGTCGTCGTAAAATCCTTCATGTGTTTTGGTCGAAAATCACATCTAACTACACGCTTTGGCGTGGAACTGGCCAACAATCATTATCCACTGAAATTAGGAGACGATGCAAATGGCGAAGGATTTGACACACTAGACTGAAATCCCCAAGGAAGCAGAAGAATAGAACGCCCAGTTCATATATGTAGGAGACAAATTGAGGCCGAAGTAAACCATAGTGACAAGACTTGGGGAGAAGTAGAGGCGTTGGCACAAAATAGAGCTATGCTCTCAAAAGTACAAAAAGTTGGGGACCACATATACAAATTTTCTACAAAATATGAGCAGTAATCTTTAGCCCAAGTAGCAAACCGTAGCAAAAAAAATGTCATATCACTTAATATTTATAAATCCCCACTGATCTTGAATTGATCTGAATAACCGCCAGTAGTTCTTTAAATTTGCATACAACTATTCAAAATCTCGCATTTTCGTCCCATGACACTTAAATTCATATCTTTGTAGATTAGTGGTTAGTGTTCTAGTCTGGTAGACCGGAGGTAGTGCGTTCGATTCGAGGCCTATTTGTATTTCTTCGGATTTAATGTAAATACATCCACTTTTCGAACTGATTAAGTAATAAACAAGTAAGAAAGTATAGTCGGGCGTGGCCGACCATATGATACCCTACACCAGTTATGAATATTAAATGTGATTTATTTTTCATAATAAAGCATTTATCTTCAATATTCCCTTGTTCCGATACATTTAAGCAATTTATGGATGAAAATCTAATTTTCTGAAAGAGGCTTTATATGGGGGCTAGGGGCAAATATGGACCAAGCCCGATAAAATTTTGTGAATATATTTATATTTACATAATATTTTATTGTGCTAAATTTCATCGCGATATTTGTGTTTATAAGTTAATTTGGGACATTCAAGTAATTTTCTGAAGGGGACTTTGTATGGGAGCTAGGGTCAAATGGGCCCGATCTTTATGAAATTTGGCAGGGTCATCCAGACTTCTATAAAACTTAGTTGTGCCGCATTTTATCGATATATCTGTAAATTTAACAAAATTATGAGCTCAAAAGCCCTTTTCGGGGGGTTCTGTTCTATGGGGGCTAGGTGAAATAATGGACCGATTTCAACCATTTTCAATAGGCTTCGTCCTTGGGTCAAATAAAACGTGCGTGCCAAATTTCATCCAATTATCTTGAAAATTGCGACCTGTACCTTGCGCACAAGGTTTACATGGACAGCCAGCCAGCCAGCCAGCCTGCCAGACGGACGGACGGACGGACGGACATAGCTTAATCGACTCAGAAAACGATTCTAAGCCGATTGGTATACTTTAAGGTGGGTCTAGGACGAATATTTTTGTATGTTACAAACATCAGCACAAATCCAATATACCCTCCCCACTAAAGTGGTGTAGGGTATATAAATCACCTAAATAAAAATTACTACAGGTTTTACCAGTATTTAGGTACTTTTTATGGACTTGTTTCCTAAATCTAAATATTTGTTCTTTCGTTTACAAACATCCAGCTTCCTGGTAATTTACAAATTAATTGACAGTTGAGTCAATAAAAAGTCCCATTAGTAAATAAAATAATTTTATATTTTCTAAAGAAATATTGTTTAAATTTTTAATTATTTGTGTTTTTGGCACTGATCTACCTCAAGAATACCGATAGCAAAACAGAAAACATACACATTAATTAATAAAAAAAACCTAGGTTTTTTATAGGTATTAGGTGACGCATAACAGATCTAAAAGTTTACACTTTTTGTTTTAGATTCCTTGCCAATAATTAACTAGGGTATTCACTAGATACATATAAAAAGTACCAGAAATAAAAGTACGAAAAGGTATTCTAGAAAACAAACACCATTTTGTAGACTTTCAAATAGAATATTTTAATTTTGATAAAATATTTTCAAAATTTCTTATTTATTAAATATTTAAAATTTTTTTCTAAATAGTATTGGCCTCATTGAATACCAGAAATGCAGAAAAATTATCACATTAAATCTCGAAAACGAGTCAATGAACCGATAGCTAATAAACGAAAAAGTGTCTCACGTGCACAAAGAATTTGGTCAGAACCAGAAAGATTATGCTCATGTTCCTACTTATTTCACAGGGATTCCCTTTTTATAGAAATTATAAGCATCAACCAGCATCAGTTAAAAAACTAGAAGAAAAAATCCCCTTTTTCTTCAACAAACCACATTTCTGATCTTTGGACAGGTATATAAAGCACTAAAAATTAATTTCTAAACAATCAGTAACTCACTCGCTTTGTGTGTTTTAAATTCAATTCCAAAAAAAATGTCTGCTCAAAAATTTGCTTTCTTCTGTGTTCTACTAATCGTTGGCACCTGGGGATTTACCACAGCCGATTGGTTGGATGATTTAAATGAAGGAACGGTAAGATTAATGCATAATGTTATTTAAACTTATAATATTTTTATATAATTTAATAACTTTTCTTTATTTTTAGAGTCGTTTATTAAATGTTGTGAATGAAAATGCCGGCAAAGTTAATAATATTGCCAGTAGTGTTCATCAAATTGGTCATATATTAAGAAATATTGATCCAGATTCAAATGAAGATGACGATTAGAAGAAATCAGATATCATTTATATACTTAGGAGCAATTTTATTTTTAACTTTACTTTAAACAATAAATAAATAAATTTGTAAATAATCTAAAACACTATTACCATATTCTATATACAGTAGTTTTCCGATTTAATGACCATTCAATTCTACGAACATCGCATTTAACGAACAAGCTAATTTTTCCTATTGACTACCTTAAATAACGAACAAAACTTGTTTTTTGTACTCTGTTTAACGAACTAATAAAAATATTATTATTTAAATGAAGATAAAATGACATTTATCAAAATAACAAATAACCTAAGTTGTAGCGGTGCTTTTATACCCAAAACTGTAACACATTCTGGATTCTTATTAAATTTTAGTTCGATGTATCTATGTCCGTCCGTCCTTCAGATAATGACTTTAACGCTCATTACTCGCTTAACAATACGAGTACGCCGATGAAATTCGATTCAAACATGTTCTATACTAACCGAAATCTTTAACAAATTTTATGGGAATCGGTCCATAATTGACCTTACCCTCCATATCAGGCCCCCTTAAGAAAATTACTTCAACGCTCATTACTCGCTTAAAAATACGAGTATAGCGATGAACTTCGAGAAATAACTTTAACGCTCATGACTGAATTAAAAATACAGCGATGAAATTCGACACAAATATGGTTTGAAGGTGGGTATATAAGATTCGGAATTTTGTGTTTTGTGCTATTTTTATAAAAAAAGAATTAATTTTTATAAAATACATATAAAAAATATTTTATGCACCTATTTTTAATTATTTTCCTACCAAAAACCCACGTTTTAGTTAGTTCTGCATATAACGAATTTTTCAATTTTACGAACAGGCCTGATAACATATGGGTTCGTTAAATCGGAAAACTACTGTAACTATATATTCATTCCCGTTGTTCCACAGTCGTAGTGTAGTAGTTGTTTTAATAATTTCGGTGTCGATTTATTTCCCTTCACTGTCTGCAATGTAGATTCCAATCAAGAGCTATTCGCGCCAGGTCCACTTGTGGCTTTCTTAATGTAGGATTTCTGAAGCAACGGAGCGGATTATTCTTTCAGGAGCCATAGATCATGATTTAAGATTATATACATATATTCTTCTTAGACATCTGTTGGTGAAGACTTGAATTGCATTCAAATCTTTGAAATTTGTGTTCCAGGTTTAACAACCATAAAAATTTTCAGATTCGCTTTTCTCGAGATACATGTTTCTAGTACTAGACCCTCAGTTATTGTTTAATAATAAGGAATGGTTGGTAACAATTTATATTTATTCGCATAGATTTAAATTGTTCCTTATTAATCTGCCTATAACATAGAAGACAGATACCCGTCAGCATACTCCAGGTCTCCGAGTTTCTCAAGTAATCCCCGTGATGTAGTTTTCGATGCGTTAGACGCAGCTTTCATTATGACATCTAAGACAATATTAAATAACAACAACCCCCGTTGATTTTTATGTAAGACTGTGCATTTATGGTGGTGTGGATAAGAGATCTTCATTCTACAGTCTCTGACGTAAAATCGATGTGGCCGGAAACCAACTTGCTGTCGTCAGGTTTCAATGTACTCGAGAGGGGGTTGGTCACAATATGTGTAGTAATGAAATTAATCATGCTTATTTCTCTCAAGTTAGCACACTTCGATCGATTTCCCCTGTATTGGTGTCTTAAGTTCTTTAAATTCATGGTCCAGACATTCTAAGAGGCCACATGAGCCACGTACCTTTCGGCATCATCTATTATGGTAAAACGTATGTATGTATACCCAATCACTGATGTCGTTGTTACAAGCGCGAAACTTACATAGGTTGTCCTTAAGGCCGGGAATTCGCTCATTTGTATAAACAGCCGGTAGTTTAAGAAGTAAGATGTCCACTAGTAGATTATGATCGCTACTTATGTATATTGCCTACGTCTAAAAGAACATATTCTGCTTATGGCTATGTGGTTTTCTTTCGATCACTTGGGGGGTTAATGTATAACTCGATTCGAAAGAAAAAAATTTCAAAATTGTTAGACCTATTCTGATTAACAAACTCCCTGGCAGTTTGTTCCCTCTCCTTACATAAAGCATGTAAAAGGGAACAAACTCCCGGGGAAATAATTGTTCATAATTGTCCTCTGTATGTTTAATACAGTATGTTTCGAAAGTTTTTCTTTCGACACGAAATACGGAATAACTACCTTGGTCTGGTAATAATCATGTAATCTTGTGCTTATAAACGAGCAAACATATTCGATGATCAGTTAATGTTTAGGGCAAATTTCAAGAAATAACTCTCCTTTTACATTCTTGGTCACCATTCCATGTATATCATTCACATGTTTACATTAGACGAACCTACTTGTGCATTGAAATCTCCTAGAAGTAAGTTATGTCTTCTCGGTAAACTGTCAAAAGTGTCCGATCTAATGAGCTGTTTAAATATTCGTTGTCGTTATGTTCAGCCGTCTCTGTAGCATTAAATGCATGTTTATTTCCGCGCTCTTGTTCAGAATCTTTCCGCAATCATCCTATCCAAGTGGGGTTTTCAATGAGCTTTTGTGAGCTTCTACACCCATTCGATTTCGTTTTCGATTTCCTTAACATGTCATCACCACTAAAGCTCACTTCTGATGCTCCTTTGCCCGAAGTTTAGGCCGTCCCATGTTTCAATTTTTCCTGGGATGTTTCAAACATCCCTTTATGAGTTGGTGATGGTTGGTAAATTTTCTACATACCTTCTTCAACGCCCGTTCATTCTAAAATCTGATTCATATCCGTTTTTATTCTAATTGTCATCATGATTGTACCGCTTTTTCTCGTATTTGGATCGGTAAAAGCTTTGAATTAGGTTTCCATTTTTGTTGGATCTATAATCACATCACTATTCCCATATCTCTCCTTCAAAAGGTTATTATAAATTAAAATATTTATTTTAATTTTAAATAAATAGTGACAACACCCAGTGTGCCACGCCCACTATAGATATTGATTACTTTGCTATTCGAAATTATTTTACCAAAACTTTTTCAAGTTGGAGAGTTTTTATACATATATTTTTTTAATTCCCCAATAAATAAAATATTTGCTGATCGACGAGATTATAAGTCAATTTAATATATTATTTCGATATGACGATATATCTTTATTTGTATTATAAAATAAACTTATTTTTTAAATCAATAAAATAACATAATTTTTTATAATTAACCCCGTACCGTGGCGGCAACATTGGCTGCCTGTTGGGCCACACCAATAGCTTGTATGGTGGCATCACGTGTATGTTGGCCCACACGTTCCTAAAATAGATAAATATTTAAAAAATAATATTTTAAAATTTATATAGCTAAATTAAATATTTTCTTAAACTTACAATTCTCTTGCCAAAATCTCTCAACCAACCAGCTTCACTTTGTCCAGCAAAAACGGCAAAAATCAAGGAAATAAAAGTGAATACTTTGTAGAATTGCATATTGATAATTATGTTAAAAGTTTAGAAATTTTTTAAAAATATTTTAGAATGATTTGTAGTTTGTTATGCTTCAGCTTAGATGCAACTGTTATTGTTTACGGTTATAAACTTGGCTTTTATATGAAATTCATAGAGTTAATAGAATTTGTGCGGTACTTTTTCTTTGCTTAACGGGATTTACTCGACCATAGTTATTGTTTATAACTAATACCTTTTTTTGTTAACAAAACAAAATTTTGGTAAAATACAGCAGTTTAGCAGCTGAACAAATTTATTTTGGAAGTTTTTTTTAATAAACAACAACACCTTACCTGGCCCTAATAGGAGACCTTCTCGAGAAAAACACTTTTATATAGTATTAATATCGGTATCCCAAGAAATACATCTAGGCCATTATCGGACCTGTTGAGCGCTCCTTTTCATGGAAAATATTTGTTGGTAAAAATAAAAACCTTATTAGAGTATTTTCTGAATATATTATAGACCAATGATTAGAAACTCAATTTCCTGGATGTAATTCCAAAGAATTTTCTAATCAGTGTTCGTGTGGAATGTTATATCCGGAATAATAGCACTCCCAAGATTTGGATCTAATTTCTACAAAAGCCTGACAATTACAAAGAAAGCACTCCAGAGTTTCACTGTCCTCTCTACATGCTCCATATTTGTCTGAATCCACACGTGTGTCCACCCAGCATACTATCCTCAGAATTATTCAATATGAGGAGGCTTCCCGTTAGAGTCTTTGCGGTTTTCGCCCCCATCTCATTATTCCAAGAGGCCTTATGTGATTCTCTCACCCACATTTTAATTCAGTCGAATGGTTTTGCGTTCGTCAGGTTAACAACCTCGAGCTCCCCTCCCTTTAAAGCTAGTACATTCGCTCTTTCGTTATCGAACACTCCCGAGTTGCCTGGCACCTATAATGATGTAAACCTTACATCTGGGAGAGAATTCGGTTAAAGCTTTCACACGGTCATAGATTTAACTTTATCAACTGATATCGCCCTTCTGGCTGTCGGTAACTATGTTAACCCCTGTTGGTGCATATTTATTCTAATTAAATTTACGCATTCTGTTGTTGTCCGAACTTCAGGTAGTATATTTCTGTTTCTGGGTCTTCAAAATAGAACCTCAGGCCCGTGTTATCTTCCAATTTAGGGCAATCCATGTAGCAACGGATCCCTGAGGGTATTTGCACTAATGTTCCGCTTGCCCATGACATTCTATCTGTTACAAAGTTCCTGACATATTCTGCGTCTGGTATGCGATCTAACATGTTCGATGATTGTGTATATCCTTGAAGGGCACCCGAATTTTCGAATGTTGGCCGTATACATATATCGACGCCTCCAAACTAAAAAGTTCTAAATGCACCGGTTATCCAGGACACTTTATTTAAGGGAATCTTTGTAAATATAAAAAAAAACAAATTAGAGTGCTATATTCCGCTATGCCGAATCTTAAATACCCTTCACCAGCAAGCTACTTTTTATTAAAACTCATTTAAATATCTAATTTTCAGATAACTTGGCAAAATTTTTGTTTCCGTATTGAGGGCACTAACATTAATGCATATGTCAAACTAATTTTAATAAGGTCGAGAAAAATGTATATTAATTCCGTAGAATGATTTATATATACAAAATACACATTTATGTCGAATTTTATCCCGATAACTTTGATTGTCAATGTGCATTTCAGTAATTTTCGGAAATGGTCCTTATATGGGAATTGTGACCAATTATCGACCGATAAGGAAAAAATTTCATATAATGATTTATATGCCAAAAAAAATCAATTCGAATTTTACTATAATAGATTTACTAATTAATGAAATATGTGCGTTTAGGTGATTTTCGGAAGTGCTTTATATGTATACGAGCTATGACCTTACACAAAACATATTTTTGTCGAATTTTATCAAGATATCTTTATTTGATAATGAAATATGTTCGCTTAAGTGATTTTTTTGAAGTGGACCTTATATAGCAGCTATTACCATATATGGACCAATCCGGAAAATTTTGGAAGAGTGATTCATATAAAGATAAAACATATTTGTGCCGAATTTTATCTAGATAAATTTATTTAACAATTAAATATGTGCGTTTAAGTGATTTTCGGAAGTGGGACTTATATGGGTGCTATGACCAATAATGGACCAATCCGGGAAAAAAGTAGTAGAATGATTTATATGCACACAAAATATATTCAAGTCGAATTTTATCCTTATATTTAATGAAATATATGCGTTTAAGTGATTTTCGGAAGTGGACTTTATATGGGAGTTATGGCCAATTATGAGCCTATCCGGAAAAAAAATCTTAGAGTGACTCATATACATAAAGACAAAACATATTTGTGTCGAATTTTATCAAGATAGCTTTATTTGACAATGTGCTTTTAAGTGATTTTCGGAAGTGGGCTTTATATGGGAGCTATGACCAATATTGGACCGATCCGTAAAAAATTTTGTGGAATGATTTGAATGTACACAAAACATATTTTTGTCGAATTTTATCACGATAGCTTTAGTTGACAATGAAATATGTGTTTTTAAGTGATTTTGGGAAGTGGGAGCTATGACGAATAATGGACTGATCCGTAAAAAAATTTGTAGAATGATTTGTATGTATACAACACATACTTGTGTCGAATTGTATCCCGATAGCTTTATTATTCAATGAAATATATGCATTTAAGTGATTTTCGGAAGTGGGCCTTATATGGGAACTATGACCAATAATGGACCGATCCGTAAAAAAAATGTAGAGTGATTCATATTTAGACAAAACATATTTGTGTCGAATTTTATCCTGATAGCTTTATAATTCAATGAAATATATTAGTTTAAGTGATTTTCGGAAGTGGACTTTATATGGGAGCTATGACCAATTATGGGCCTATCCGGAAAAAAATTTCGTAGAGTGATTCATATTTAGACTAAACATATTTGTGTCGAATTTTTCAAGATAGCTTTATTTGACAATGAAATATGAGCTTTTAAATGATTTTAGGAAGTGGGCCTTATATGGGAGCTATGACCAATAATGGACCGATCCGTAAAAAATTTGGTAGATTGATTTGTATGTACACAAAACATATTTAACTCGAATTTTATCAAAAATAGCTATATTCATCAATGAAATATATACGTTTAGGTGATTTTCGGAAGTGGACCTTATATGGGAGCTATGACCAATTGTGGACCGACTGAGATCTACGTTGACTGTATGATTTCTGTTCATATTATATTTGCATGTACAAAATTTTGTGTTGATACCGATATATTTGAGGGAGTTATTAACGATAAACTAATTTCCGGGAATATATACCTTTGTATGGGGGCTATGGGAAATATTCGATCGATTGTAAAGATCTTGAACATAATTGATCACAGGCATAAAAAATTAATGTGTAAGAAAATTCATCGAAATATCTTTGGTAGTTTCTGAGAAAACTTCAAAAGAATGTTGAAAAAAACGTAATTTTTTTCGAGGTAGTCTGAAATTTTTACTCGTAACTTTTTACGTTGTGAACCGATTTTGCTGATTTTCAATACCAAACTGCTTAGGATAACAATAAATACTTTGGGTGAATTTGGTTGATTTCCTTTGCTTAGTTTTAATGTGAGCGTGTTTTACACAGACAGACAGACAGACGGACAGACGGACATAGCTCGATACCAAACTGCTTAGGATAACAATAAATACTTTGGGTGAATTTGGTTGATTTCCTTTGCTTAGTTTTAATGTGAGCGTGTTTTACACAGACAGACAGACAGACGGACATAGATCGACTCAGAATTTGATAAGGACCCAGAATATATATACTTTGTTGGGTCTTAGATGAATGTTTCTTGGTGTTACACACGGAACGACAAACTTATATATACCCTCTATCACCACTGATGGTGGTGGAGGGTTTAAAAAGTTTCAACTTTCAACGACGACAGTAGACCTTTAACGTCTTTGTAGAGAATTTCGCGATGGTAGGAACGATGAATATTATACTTGAAGATCGTCTAACTATCGTGAAAATATCCTATCGGGCCACTTCTTATTAATACACAATTTGTGGATAAGGTATCGTATATATTTTTCAAAATGCAAAAATATGAAAGGAATCCCTCCGTTCTTTGGATTTTGGATTATACATACATATATTAAGCGCCATTTTTAAATTGGTCTTAAATAGTTAATTTTGAGTTTATTACATACGTATGCTCTAATAAAAAAATCACCCAAATAAATTTAACCGGTTTGGTTAATGGAGTTATTTTCCGAAATCTTAATATTGATTCTTTCTTTTAATAACATCCAGCTTCCTGGTAGTTTACCCATTGATTAACAATTGAGTCAATAAAAAAAGTCCCATTAGTAAATCAAATAATTTTAAAATTTCTACAGAAATGTTGTTTAAATTTTAAATAATTTGTAATTTTGGCACTGATCTACCTCAAGAATGCCGGTAGCAAAACAAAAAACATACATTAATTAATAAAATAAAAACAAAACAAAAGTAGCTTCTAGGTGACGCATAACAGAGCTTAAAGTTTGCACATTTTATTTTAGGTCTACTGTTAATAGTTAATGATTAATTAAGGGTATCCCCTATATAAAAAGTACCGAAATAAAAATACGAAAAGGTATTCTAGAAAACACAGAACATTCAAATAGAATATTTTCATCTTCATAAAATATTTAAAATTTTATATAAAATATTTTAATTTTTTTCAAACTAGTATTGGTCTCTACGAATACCCTTAATAATTTCTTTGTTGCTTGTCACCTACCACAACAAAAAACTATCAAATTTAAATCTCAAACACGAGTCAATGAACCGGTAGTTAATAAACTTGTTGAGTACAAGTTGAGTACAACGAGCCCATGTTTATTTCCTCAAAGCGTGGCACGTGAACAAAGAATTTAGTCAGAATCATAAAGATCCATGGTAAACAAAAATATACACTCAAACATTCTTATTTCTTTCTCAGGGATTCCCTTATTCAAATTAAGCACTAGAAGTATAAAAACCCCCTTATTCACCCGAAAGATCTTCGCTTATCTCCTCTTTTGGCTATAATTCAGGTATATAAAGCACTGATTGATTTCTAGACACTCAATCACTCGCTCACTACAATTTCGCTTTGTGTGTTAAAAATTTATTTAAAAAAAATGTCTGCTCAAAAATTTGCTTTCTTCTGTGTTCTACTAATCGTCGGCACCTGGGGATTTACCACAGCCGATTGGTTGGATGATTTAAATGAAGGAACGGTAAGTTCCTTGTTATTTAAACTTTTAATATTTTTTATTTAATTTAAAAACTTTTCTTTATTTTTAGAGTCGTTTATTAAATGTTGTTAATGAAAATGCTGGCAAAGTTAATAATATTGCCAGTAGTGTTCATCAAATTGGCCATATATTAAGAAATATTGATCCAGATTCAAATGAAGATGATGATTAGAAGATTTCATGTGTACTTAAGACAATTTAACTTTACTTTAAGCAATATATTATATTTAATAACAAATTTATATTTAATAACAAAGCATTTAAGTTATTTACCTTAATTCCGAAATATTTTAACAATTTGTTCAAAAAGGTGATTTTCTAAAAGAGAGGTTAAATATGGGCCTATCCTTATAAATTTTGGTACATGGCTTTACGTTTACATTACAGTTATGTATGCTGGATTTCATCGTGATACTAGTGTTTATTAGGGAATTATTGACCTTCAAGTAATTTTCTGAAAAGGACTTTGTATGGGGGCTAGGGTCAAATAAAGTCCAATAATTATGAAAATTGGTAGTATTATTAAGACGTATATAGAACTAAGTTTTGCCGATTTTTGTAGAGATACTACAATATTTAACATAATTATAAGTTCAGAAGCCCTTTTCGGGTGGTGCTGTTGTATGGGAGCTAGGTGAAATAATGGACCGATTTCAACCATTTTCAATAGGCTTCGTCGTTGGGCCGAAAAACACGTATGTCTGAGTCGATCGGTATACTTTAAGGTGGGTGTAGGACCAATATTTTTGTGCGTTACAAACATCAGCACATACGTATAGTACCCTCACTATGGTGGCGTAGGGTATAAATATTAGTCCGTCTGTTTTTTCCCTAAATGTATGTACATATTTGTAGCAAAACTATTTGTGTAAAATTTTAAGACTATAACTATTTTAGTTTCCCAGATAGTTATACGATATGATGGTATGCTTAATTTCGTACCAAATATTCATATTGATAGCCGGTCCACCTATTTGCTTAAAATGTTTTTATGGATGTTAAAGTCGCCTTCGGTAGGTTAGTGTTCTAGTCTGGTAGACCGGAGGTCGTAGATTCTATTCCTATCTGAGGCACAGGTAAAGGAATTGTTCCGAGGTTAGCGGGGCGGCAGCGATAGATCGAGCGAGCGAGCGAGATCGAGCGAGCGAGCGAGAGCGAGCGAGCGAGCGAGCAGCGAGGACGAGCGAGCGAGCGAGCGAGCGAGCGAGCGAGCGAGCGAGCGAGCGAGCGAGCAGCAGCGAGCGAGCGAGCGAGCGAGCGAGCGAGAGCGAGCGAGCGAGCAGCGAGCGAGCGAGCGAGCAGGAGCGAGCGAGCGAGCAGCGAGCAGCGAGCGAGCGAGCAGAGCGAGCGAGCGAGCGAGCGAGCGAGCGAGGAGCGAGAGAGCGAGCGAGCGAGCGAGCGAGCGAGCGAGCGAGCGAGCGAGCGAGCGAGCGAGCGAGCGAGAGAGCGAGAGAGCGAGCGAGCGAGCGAGCGAGCGAGCGAGCGAGCAGCGAGCTCGAGCGAGCGAGCGAGAGCGAGCGAGCGAGCGAGCGAGCGCGCGAGCGAGCGAGCGAGAGCGAGCGATCGAGGAGCGAGCAGCGAGCGAGCGAGCGAGCGAGCTATCTATCTATCTATCTATCTATCTATCTATCTATCTATCTATCTATCTATCTATCTATCTATCTATCTATCTATCTATCTATCTATCTATCTATCTATCTATCTATCTATCTATCTATCTATCTATCTATCTATCTATCTATCTATCTATCTATCTATCTATCTATCTATCTATCTATCTATCTATCTATCTATCTATCTATCTATCTATCTATCTATCTATCTAACTAAACAACTTAGATTTCTAACAGCCGATTAAAGTATACAGGCATTCTGTACAGAGCGACCTAGATTGCTATAATCATAAATAGCAAAACAAGTGCGCAAAACAAGACAAATGTGATTTGGTTATCACCGCTTTCCTCAATTAAACTATAACACAGGCCCTTAGTTTCCTTTTAGATTTCTTGCAAGAATATAATTCATAGTGTGCCTTATATATTCGACTCTCAGAATTACGTTTCCCCTACAGCGTAGAGTCCATACTTACGACATGACTTCCTTGATAATCTGGAATTATATCCCCCAATTATACCAATATAACCAATATTACCCCGACTTGCGACAAAAATAATTTTGGTATTATAAAATTCGTCCAGGTATAGATATGAAATTGGCAAATCATATAGTATTTAAATAAAGTTAATATCTTAATCCCATTACTACAACTTGGCAACAACTAAAAGTAGGATTTTATAATGCACATAACTCTATTCTAGTTATTATAATTGTACTTTAGTTAAAGGATATCGATAAAGCATAGGAGATCTTTCCGCCAGCTTATCATTCCGTATACATATAATAAACAGAAACAAATTATCGGCATTATAAAGTCCTATCTTTAGTTATTGACAAGTTTTAATAATGGGCCCTAAAATATTATTATTTATTTTATTAAAATTTTAATTTATTTATAAAGTGGGTACACTGTCTACTACTTTTTTTGCAGCGCCTGAAAATTGATCAGTTGCATCGCCCTGTCAAACGATATAAGATAAAATTAAAGTATTTTTTTTTTATATTTAATCAATGAGATAAAAGAAGAAGAAAAACTCTATTAAAACATACCACCAAACCGGTAATACTTTTCATTAAATCAGCTTTAACATTTCCCGCAAATATAGCGAAAATTAAGGTGACTAAAATGAGCACTGCACTGAAATTCATATTTATATTGAAATTTTCTTTTTTACGGATCTATCTGAAATTTTTCAGATAATTATCAAAATACTTTTAAAGGTAAATAAAATTTGTAAAATATTTATTTTAAATGTTGTTTAACTTTTGAAATAAGTAAAGTAAAAATTCATTTCAAACAAACTACTATTTATAGTGCATTATTTTCGTTTCGCATGATATTGTATAACGAACGAATTTGATACACTTAGTGGAAAATGATTTCATTTGTTACACAAATATTAAATTTTATTTAAATAATTATTTCTAAATAGTTTCAGAAATCGTAATTTTTACGCAAATTAATAACAAAACTAATTGCAACAATACCATTACAGGGTCACTTGTCGAAAATCACTTGTAATTGGAAATCTCTAGAAAGATAATTTTAGAACCTTTTAGTTCTTTAAATGGTACTTTTTGGTATATTGAACCTAGAAACATAAAATTGAACATTTAGGGCCCTGAGTGAAGAAAAATCTCTTCTTGTTCTTCAACCGATACTTTTTTAAATTTTCTGTAATACATATTGAACCCGATTGTATGATTATCTATGAAGGGTTCGAAGGACTATTATTTGGTACTTTTTCGTTCTTCAATTGGAACTCTTTGAGTATTCTTTAATTTTGAACTAAGAAATATGAAATTTAACATGCGAAGCATACCGGGTAGAGTATATTATAAATCTCTTTAAAAGTCTGTTTGTTTATTCTGCAATCAAGCCTAACGGCTGAACTATATTTGGAACTGTAAGCCTTCGAAAGTTGAACCGGAAGTGGATAAAAATGGTGAAAAATGGAAAATTTTTTATGGTATTTCGGTAAATTTTGTAAACGTTGCTTCAACTCAAAAGTGCCTAAGCTAACTTTCTTAATTAATTTACAAAAGTATAATTCCTACGTCACTTAACCATTAGTGACACATTAATTAAGCAGAAAAATATTAACATTTAAGAAAGGGTATGTCAATCCCCTTAGCCAAATAGTTAGGAAAAAAGAGTAAATCCCCTCTTAAACAAAAATATAAATTAACACAAAGAAATATAAAGACAATAAACATAAGTAAAGAGAAATGTATATAAAAGCTAAGCTTAAAGCTTCGATCATTAACAGTTCTTTAAACAACACACAACAATAAAGAATACCAACAAAAAAAGCACTTGTTTAAATAATTTTAAAACTTAAACAATGAATTTTAACAAAGTTGTTGTCTTCCTGGCTTTGATTATGGTCGCTTTTGTGGGTCAAAGTCAAGGTGGTTGGTTGAAAAAGTTTGGCAAGAAAATTGTAAGTTTGCAACAAAATTTTAATATATATTACAAAAAATTAAAATATTTAAATTTTTTTTATTTCTAGGAACGTGTGGGCCAACATACTCGTGATGCTACTATACAAGCCATTGGTGTTGCCCAACAAGCAGCAAATGTTGCGGCAACTTTAAAGGGTTGATTTAAAGTTAAATTATGGATATGAATTTACTATTTATTTAATAATTTTAATTAGTATAATGTACAAAATAACTGCCTTATGTTTAATAAATTAATTGATTTAGTATTATTTTTATATTAAATAAATATAATTAATTATTTGAAGTAAATGCATACATATAAGTTTTTCAATCATTTTGAAATTTGAACAATTTAATCGTGGGACTCTATAAAGTATGTATGTTTGTTTATACAAATTTTCTGAAGGCCTTAGATATTTTTGGAATCCAAAACTTGGCTAATATTTTAAATTTACAGTCATCAAAACGGGTTTATAAATATCGGGGATTTCATACTATTGTTTAAGAAACTCAATTGCAGAATTTCGACCACTAAGATTGAATGGTAGTTTTATAATGATGGATTCTTGAAAGAGAACCTTCACATTAATACCTATGGAATGTAAAAACACCTCCGAAATGTTTAGACAAAGAACATGAAACGATGTTTGACTGCCCACTCTACAAAAGCGCGAACTGAGATATCTTTGTACGAGACTCGTTCCAGATCTGGACTATATCAAGCATGTATCACTTACGAATTTAGTTTGTTAAATGTGCACGGAGGGAAAATGAAATATACACGTACGTATGGATGTACCTATATACTTTGACAACGGGTGTTATTGAAAAATTATAATCTCTTTGTCAATTTGGTACCAGGCATGTATATTAATTTTTCCCTCTGTGTGCCGGTTATTTAGCTGGGGATCATAATAATATCAAGACCGTCTAAATAAGAAATATATGAAAATTTGCTCCAGAATGGAACAAATTAATGGACATCAAGTGTTTTCAGTAAATCACGAACTTCCCTTTTGGAAACATAAAAATAAAAATTTCGTTATAACAATGTTCGTCTAGTGGACTTCAAGATATCTGACAGACCAAAATGTATAATAAACTTGGTCCAGAAATAACTAAAATATAAAAAATGGCTTATTAACTTTTTTTGTAAAAAGCTTTATATGGAGGGTTGGTCCAACTATATACCGATCCTCATAAAATCCAATATATAGATTTCGGTTTATAAAAATCTTTTTTGTGTCGAACTTCTTTATTACACCGATATTTTAAACCCATTTTTCGGAAGAGGATTACATATAGAGGGTAGGGTCAATTATGGGCCGTTCCACATAGATGGGCTAATGGATTGATTTTAAACAGTTTAATTAGGGCACATAAAACAAATATATTTTTTATCTATATTCTAAATTATTTTTTTATTTATTATTAAGTATTATTGGGAATAAATAAATTGTAGAACTACTTATAAAATACAAAAACTAATTGAACTTAATTTTCTATCCTTTTAAAGTGGCGGCCACATTGGCGGCCTGTTGAGCAACACCAATTGTTCGTATGGTAGCATCTCGGGTGTGTTGACCCCCACGTTCCTATTAAAATGAATATATAATATATATTTAGTTTTTTAACTAGAAATTTTTCAATTCAAAACTTACAATTTTCTTGCCAATTTTTTTCAACCAACCAGCTTCACTTTGTCCCACAACAGCAACCATAATTAGAGCGAATAATACGAACAATTTATTGAAATTCATTTTGTCTTTAAATATTTGTTTAGTTAGTTTGAAGAAAGTGAGTTTCTTTTGCTGTATACAATTGCCAACTGTTAATAAATAAAGCTTTAAGTTGGGCTTTTATAATAATTCATGATACAACAATGTTGACTTAACGTTTCTTTGTTCAGGAAAAGGAAACACAACACTTTTATTGATTTAGAACGGGGAATTACTGTAGTGAAAAAAATATGTATTTTTTATTTTCGTCTTAACAGTTATTGCCCTGCAATTCGATGTGATTATAAAGTACTTTAACTTGCCAGGAAAATTCAATTCTACGTCTGGTATAGTAGGGTGATCGACTCGATTTTTCAACCGGTTTTAAAACCGGTTTTTTCTGCTTTACCAGTGTCGGTTTTTTCTAAATGTTGATTTTTCGAATATCGAATAACCCGGTTTTTTCACTTTTTAAAAACCGGTTTCGAATACTTTTATTTGCTTTGTATTCAAAGATTATTTAAATGAAATTTTGAAGTAAATAATACAGCCCATTTAAATTTTAAAAATATTCGAGTCCAGGAACTAGGATATATTTTTCTAAAGCACCATTGGTTAAACCTTTTCCTAATTAATTAAAAAATTTTATTTGTAAAATTGATAACTGTTTAATAAAATTTTATTAATCTTAAGATTGTATTCCAATTACAATAATTAATTTACCGCTGAAATATTATGGAAGTGTTAGAATGCCTATGAAAATTTCCTAAAAGGGCTTTAGAATAAGCTAGGATTACATAGTACCTTATGTTTAACAGAAGTGTCCACTTTTTTCCTATTTTTTTTATATTAAAGAAATAATGTAAATCAGACGACTAGATCTTAAGTTATAATCTGTTTTATTAATCAAATTTAAACATAAACATTATTTTCTTCAAATTAACATATATTTTTTTATTTATTTTGAAAACCCGGTTAACCGGTTTTTTTTTCTGAATTTGAAAAATATCAACCGGTTTTTTTGAAATGTCAACTATTCGAACTATTCGAAACCGGTTTTTGAAAAATGTCGAATAATCGATCACCCTAGTATATAGGCTAGTCCACAGTCTAGTTTATAATCTAGCCCAGTGTATCCTAAAGTCTAGTCTATAGTCATTAATCTAGCCTATTGTCTTGTCTATAGTCTAGTCTAGTCTATAGTCTAGTCTATAGTCTAGTCTATAGTCTAGTCTAGTCTAGTCTATAGTCTAGTCTAGTCTAGTCTAAGTTAGTCTAGTCTATAGTCTAGTCTATAGTCTCTAGTAGTCTATAGTCTAGTCTATAGTCTAGTCTATAGTCTAGTCTATAGTCTAGTCTATAGTCTAGTCTATAGTCTAGTCTATAGTCTAGTCTATAGTCTAGTCTATAGTCTAGTCTATAGTCTAGTCTATAGTCTAGTCTATAGTCTAGTCTATAGTCTAGTCTATAGTCTAGTCTATAGTCTAGTCTATAGTCTAGTCTATAGTCTAGTCTATAGTCTAGTCTATAGTCTAGTATAGTCTAGTCTATAGTCTAGTCTATAGTCTAGTCTATAGTCTAGTCTATAGTCTAGTCTATAGTCTAGTCTATAGTCTAGTCTATAGTCTAGTCTATAGTCTAGTCTATAGTCTAGTCTATAGTCTAGTCTATAGTCTAGTCTATAGTCTAGTCTATAGTCTAGTCTATAGTCTAGTCTAGTCTAGTCTATAGTCTAGTCTATAGTCTAGTCTATAGTCTAGTCTATAGTCTAGTCTATAGTCTAGTCTATAGTCTAGTCTATAGTCTAGTCTATAGTCTAGTCTATAGTCTAGTCTATAGTCTAGTCTATAGTCTAGTCTATAGTCTAGTCTATAGTCTAGTCTATAGTCTAGTCTATAGTCTAGTCTATAGTCTAGTCTATAGTCTAGTCTATAGTCTAGTCTATAGTCTAGTCTATAGTCTAGTCTATAGTCTAGTCTATAGTCTAGTCTATAGTCTAGTCTATAGTCTAGTCTATAGTCTAGTCTATAGTCTAGTCTATAGTCTAGTCTATAGTCTAGTCTATAGTCTAGTCTATAGTCTAGTCTATAGTCTAGTCTATAGTCTAGTCTATAGTCTAGTCTATAGTCTAGTCTATAGTCTAGTCTATAGTCTAGTCTATAGTCTAGTCTATAGTCTAGTCTATAGTCTAGTCTATAGTCTAGTCTATAGTCTAGTCTATAGTCTAGTCTATAGTCTAGTCTATAGTCTAGTCTATAGTCTAGTCTATAGTCTAGTCTATAGTCTAGTCTATAGTCTAGTCTATAGTCTAGTCTATAGTCTAGTCTATAGTCTAGTCTATAGTCTAGTCTATAGTCTAGTCGATAGTCTAGTCTATAGTCTAGTCTATAGTCTAGTCGATAGTCTAGTCTATAGTCTAGTCTATAGTCTAGTCTATAGTCTAGTCTATAGTCTAGTCTATAGTCTAGTCTATAGTCTAGTCTATAGTCTAGTCTATAGTCTAGTCTATAGTCTAGTCTATAGTCTAGTCTATAGTCTAGTCTATAGTCTAGTCTATAGTCTAGTCTATAGTCTAGTCTATAGTCTAGTCTAGAGTCTAGTCTATAGTCTGGGCTATAGTCTAGTCAATAGTGTAGTCTATAGTCTTGTCTATAGTCTAGTCTATAGTTAAGTATTCAGTATATGGTCTAGTCTATAGTCCAGTCTCAAATTAATTGGTAATATTTCATTTAAAAGTACATTTCAGTAAATAAAATATAAACCCCAAAATTAAGTTATAGTTCTGATTAACTACATAATTTATTTCTAAAAAATAATAGACAAAAAGTTTACAAATTTTCTATATGAATCATTAAGAAAAGAAAGCTCTGTAAATTATTTAATATTTATAAAAAAATCTAGCAAGACCCCTTTTAATAAATGAAAATATCAAAACCCATAGCAAAATCCCCTAATTCATCATTTGTGGTATTTAAGAGAGTAAAAAAAATGTATATAAAAAGCAGCTTAAACTATTATTCAGAACCGTACAGCAATAAAGTGTCAGTAACGAAAAAACATTTCTTTAAACAAATAAAATTTTATTAATTAAAAACAACAACAATGAACTTTAATAAAATATTGCTTTTCTTTGCTTTGATTTTGTGTGCTTTTGTGACTCAAAGTCAAGGTGGTTGGTTGAAAAAGATTGGCAAGAAAATTGTAAGTTTTAAAAATAAAATTAAATAATTTTTAGAAAATAATGTAATTAACTAATAAATATTTTTTACATAAAGGAACATGTGGGTCAACATACTCGTGATGCTACCACACAAACTATTGGTGTTGCTCAGCAGGCAGCTAATGTTGCTGCAACTTTAAAGGGTTGATTGAAATATTTAAAATTGTAATAGATTGTGTAGTATTAATAAATAATTTAAATTAGTTATTTAAGTAAATATTAATATAAATATTAAATATTAAGAAAATTTATAATTATGTTCAAAATATAAATATTTAAAAAATTTATTATTATTATTTTTTATTTTATCTTTGATTTTTTTTATTTAAAAGTTGAAAAAATATTAATGAGGAGAATTTTGAACTTTTGGTAAATATTAAAACAACTACAAGTGATATATTCGACTATTTCGAATCGATATTAATGTGAACATTAGGACTTGGATCAATTATGAACCGAACTCTTTCTCTTAATATGTTGATTTTCAAACTATTTATTAAAAGTAAAGTAATTATCTGAAAAAGAGGTTATATGGGGGCCAATTATAGACCAATTCTTATAAAATTTTGTAGAGAAATTTTACAGTCGATAACTCGACTATCGTCTATGAAAAAAGTCAACATTGTAAATAAAAGTCGAAAAGTCGAAAAAAGTTGAAAAGTCAAAAAAAGTCGATAAGTCGAAAAAAGTCGAAAAAAGTCGAAAAGTTGGAAAAAGTCGAAAACTTGAAAATAGTAGAAAAAAGTCAAAAATAGTCGAAAATTTTAAACAAGTGGAAAAAAAGTCAAAAACTCTAAAATAATCGGAAAAACTCGAAAAATAGTCGAAAAAAGTCAAAAAAAAAGTCGAAAGAAGTCGAAAATAGTCAAAAAGTCGCAAAAAAATCGAAAAGTCGGAAAAAGTCGACTATTTATAAAATACTAAAGTCTAAAAGTCGACTTTTTATTAAATGAAAAAAGTCGAAAAGTCGACTTTTCGTTTCAACTATAGAACCCTACATTATAGAATCTACTTTTTCATTAGACTTTACGTACGTAAAGTGTGATCGTGTAAAGTCCCCCTAAAGTATATCGATGATCAAGTTTTAGGCGACCGTTACAAAAATATGTTTTTCATTCTTTTTAATATAGAAATTCAACATTTTCCGTGTATTTTTCTACTTTATCCGACTTATTAACGTTTTTCGACTTTTATCGACTTAACTTTTATTTACTACATCAATTAAGCGACTTTTCTCTGGATATCTATAGTTGAAACAAAAAAATCAACTTTTGTCTATTTATGAAAAGTCGACTTTTTGAATTTTGCAATTTATAAAAATACGATGATCTAACATAACAAAATTGTTTTTTAATATATTTTTACGGAAATTGATTTACTAGATCGTAGGGTTCTATAGTAGAAACGAAAAGTCGACTTTTTGCAATTAGTTAAAAGTCGACTTTTCAACTTTTTGCATTTTATGAAAAGTCGACTTTTCGACTTTTTTCATTTAATTAAAAGTCGACTTTTCGACTATTAGTATTTTATAAATAGTCGGCTTTTTCCGACTATTTTCGACTTTTCGATTTTTTCGACTTTTTCACTATTTTTGACTTCTTTCGACTAATTTTTGATTTTTTTTCGAGTTTTTCCGACTATTTTACAGTTTTTGACTTTTTTAAAATTTTCGACTATTTTTGACTTTTTTCTACTATTTACGAGTTTTCGACTTTTTGCGACTTTTTCCGACTTTATTCGACTTTTCGACTTTTTTGGACTTATAGACTTTTTTCGACTTTTCGACTTTTATTTACAAAGTCGACTTTTCGACTTTTTCATAGACGATGGTCGAGTTATCGACTTTTTTGGAACCAAATAGTCGTCTTCGACTTTTCGACAGAAGTCGATTGTTTGATTATTCGAATGTCGATTTATAGAACCCTACTAGATCGATGATTAGACTTTTTCTTACAAAATAGTCGACTTAGATTAGACAAAATAGACGACATTTGTTCGACAAAAAGTCGATTGTTTGAAAGTCGGTATATAAAACTTAATTTTATTCTTAACTAATATTAACTTTGTTAGGACTAATTTTTACACAAAGTCGATTTAAAGAAATGAACTAAAAAGACAATAAGTTTATTTAAAATTGGCCTTATAAAAAATCAAATTTTCAAATCAAAATTAACTTGAAACAAAAAGATAACAAAATTTTGTATTAAAAAAACGTTTATAGAATTTTCACACAATTGTTATTGTTATTCCAAATTAATCTATATATTTATGTTTTTTTACTAACGGAAAAATGTAATTAAATAAATTATTTAATATTATTAAATATAATTTTGAATTATTATATTAATTTAAAACTATTTTCAACAAATATTGTTTAATTTCACACATACTTTTTGCAACGTGTACACCCATCTCTAGCACTCGCTATACACACAAAAATACAACCCTGTCAACAACTGCAGCCAACTTCCGAACGAATGAAAAACGAGCGAGTAAAGGAAATTACTGTTCAGTGGGTCTGTTTTACTTCCTTTTCTGTCAAAATAATTGACCAAGGTTGGTGTATTTTTTGTGATAAGTTTTTGAAAAAGCAAAAAAATTACGATTATTTTCCATAAAAAAGTAAAAATGTGTATTGAAAATGAAAACTAAGAGAATGAATTTAAAATATAAATGAAATTTGTGTGTTAACAAAAAGAAAAACAGCAAGATGTTAAACGATTAGAAAAAAAGAAAAATGTCAGCAGCCGGCTGGGAAAAGAAAAGCTGAAAAGTGTTTACGTTTGTGTTTATAAATTAAAAAATCTAAAAGATGGAAAATAAAAGTGATTTTTTTATGTAAAAAGAAAATGATTAAAGAAGCAGCAACTAAAATGATGTGTTTGTGTTTCTTTTATGCAATTTTTAGATGATTGGCTCCAAGATTATTAAGCCTGGTGGCGCTGAGCCCGATGATTTTGAGAAATCCATTGCTCAAGCTCTCTTGGAGTTGGAGGCCAACAGTGACCTCAAGCCCTACTTGAGAGATTTGCACATTACACGTGCCCGTGAAATTGAATTCGGCAACAAGAAGGTGAGTGTTGAGTGCTGTTCTTTATATTGTTGTGTTAATAGTATTAAAATGGATTTTTGTTTTTTTTTTTATTATTATTAGGCTGTCATCATCTATGTGCCCATTCCCCAACAAAAGACCTTCCAAAAGATCCAAATCATTTTGGTTCGTGAATTGGAGAAGAAATTCTCTGGCAAACATGTCGTTGTTGTTGGCGAACGTAAAATTTTGCCCAAACCTACCCGCAAGGCCAGAAACCCCTTGAAACAAAAGCGTCCACGTTCCCGCACCTTGACCGCTGTCTACGATGCCATCTTGGAAGATTTAGTCTTCCCCGCTGAAATCGTTGGCAAGCGCATCCGCGTTAAGTTGGATGGCTCTCAATTGATCAAGGTTCATTTGGACAAGAATCAACAAACCACCATTGAACACAAAGTAAGTTGATCACGGGAGTTGTAAATAAATGGGAGGGGTTTTGTTTTTGTGGATTTTAATTGTTGTTGTTGGAGACAAGTGTAAATGAAGAAGTGTTTGTTGTTTTTGGAATAATAGTATTTTGTATTGATGTGCGTGTGTTCAATGAGAAATATTGTGAAAAATTGAAAATGTTTAAAGTAGTTTCATTAGAAAACAAATATAGAATGTGTTCCAAAAGAACTAGTTTTAGAATGGGTGTAAACAGAGCCACTTCAGATTCATGAACAGCATATTTGGGACTGTCGTCGATGTAAAATATTGTGACTCCAAAGTACTTCTCGGAAGTTTTCAGGACAACAGCTCTACAACACTTTAATAGTTAAAGAAACGCTTACTAGTTCTAAAACAACTTCTTGGAAAGATTTGAAAAATAGAGAATAGTAACTAAATTTAAGTTCAATTTGAAGAACTTTATAACATTTCAAAAACTCCACACACTTCTTCATTGAACTCCTATAAGTTTAAATATTATGTTTTAATACTATAATGTCCTTGTGTTATTTGCTGATTGTATATTTAACCAAGATCAGTGATTGTCAAAAAGGACAAATATTAAATGATACAGCCAATGTCTCGTTATTGTTTGAAAATGCTTATAAATGGCCTTTAAACATTTCCATACGTTGGTTACATTTCTATCATCAATTATTAACTATAAAGAAATATATTTAAAAGGAACTAAAAGTGATTCATATATTAAGAAAATCGTCCTTGTGTTAATTGCTGAATTATGGCCACTAGTCACAGTGATCGTCAAAAAGGACAAACAGTAAAATTTACAAGAAATATTTTTACTTAAAAAAAATTACAAGTTTTTTTCCCAAATTTGTAATAAATATAAAAAAGTATTTCTACAAAACGATAAAAAAGATAAATTTTGCGCGATTTAGGAATTAAAGTTTAAAAGAATTAATTCTATTTAGAATTAATTTAACTTAATTTTTCTCAAAACGTTTAAAAATATTTGAATATTTGAACATTAAAGAAATATATTTAAAAGGAACATGAAGTAATTTTATAAACATTATCGTCCTTGTGTTAATTGCTGAATTATGACCACTAGTCACAGTGATCGTCAAAAAGGACAAACAGTAAAATTTACAAGAAATATTTTTACTTAAAAAATTACAAGTTTTTTTTCCCAAATTTGTAATAAAAATAAAAAGGTATTTCACAAAATGATAAAAAAAAGAATTAGGAATTAATTCAACTTAATTTTCTCAATACGTCTGAAAATATTTGAATATTTCATACTCTGAACTCATTCTTTTGTAAGTCATTTAAAAGTTTATTTCTTTGGTTTTAGATTCCAATGAATTTCCAAATGTATTCAAAAATTTTATCAGGGAATTGATTCAAGCAAAGACTTGAGTCATTCAAGTCATGTAAAGGTTTAAGAATATATTCTTAGAATTAAGGGCCTGTTCCTCTATGTTGAAAACAATAGCAACAACAAAGTATGAAAGTACATGTTCGTTCGTATTTAGAGGAGTAGGCACTAAATCTTAGGAATGTCTTTAAGGAATTGCAGATAATTCTTGAAAAGTGAAATCTATTTAAAAGAAAATAGTTGGAATTTGTCCTTTCGAGCTTAAATTAAGAACACAAACAATAGTTCAGAGAGAACGGAATAAGATTGTCAAAAAAGCTAGAATGTATTATACGAACTTTTCTATTAGACCTGGTTCATACTGAGAAAATTTTGTTGAGAAACTTTTGATAGAATATATTATACGAATATATTATTCGAACTTTATTATTAGACCTGGATTATGGATTAGATCGTTGATATTTCTCTCACACATAAAAATCAAAAGATTCCCAAAAACAGTTTCCTAGTGTGACCCAGGTCTTACTTTTAAAAGTGTATTATATTACGTTCTTGTGTTATTTGTTGATTGTGTTTTCTTGTAAAAATCAATGATTGTCAAAAAGAACGTAAATTAAACTAAAACAACAACTCGTTATTATTGAATCTGAAATTTTAAGATTAAATATATTCCATTTGTTGCTTATAATTGAAAAAAATCAGAATAAAAAGAGAAGAATTTCGCTTAGTTTAGGTTCACAAAGTGAAAATTTTGTTGCTGAAATTTTTGAGAGAAAACTTGCCTCTCTCGTTTTCACTCTCTCACACAAACTCAACAAATTGAGTGACAAAGTTGACCTATGTGAAGTGACACCATAGACACTTCAAAACTGTCAGATAAAGTATTGTTTTTCTATTTTTATCGGGATCAATATAGACTAGCAGTGAAATTATCTTCTTTTTTAAAACCTAATAACAGTATCTTTAAGGCCGCTTATTTGCCTCCCATACGTGATGTTTCTCAACCTGTTAGCGTGATGGGACTTCCTACAAAGCGGCAGATTAAACAACTTTTGAAATTTACTACAAATTACTTTGACAATAACAATGAAATTTCTATTTCCTAAGTTAATAAATAAAATAATTATAGAAAAATTATATAAAAAAAACTAAAACTTTTGGTTCCTTTTAAACAAATATTCTACCGTTCTTGTGTTTTTTGTTGATTGTTATTTACAAAATCAATGATTGTCAAAAAGAACGTACAGTAAATTTTAAAACAACGACTCGTTATAATTTATTCTCACTCTTTAAATAAGAATAAATTTATTCCATTTGTTGCTTACATGCTCTCTAAATTACTAGAATGGTTAAATTTATTATTAACACCGCCTATTTGCCTCCCATAAGTGATGTTTTTCAACTTGTTAGCGTTATGGGACTTCCTACGTAAGCGGTAGATTAAAAAACTTTAAAAATTAAAATATTTTACTTGAAACCACTAAAGTAATTTATAGTTTTACAGTTAATAAATGTTTAAATAGTTCTATAAGTCTTATAAACAATATATCACTTTATTTATTTGTTTTACTTTATTAATTTAATATTTTTCTTTTCTTCTTTTTAGGTTGACACCTTCACCTCGGTCTACAAGAAACTTACCGGCCGTGATGTCACTTTTGAATTCCCCGATAACTATTTGACCATGTAAATTGTGAAAATAAATGTTATTTTTTATATAGTGAAAATGTTGTTCAACACTATTTGTCGCTTGTTTTTAAATAAAAAAACAAAAACTTGGGGCATCATTTTAAAGAATACAAAGAAAGGAAGTATTTTGTAAATTTCTTTTACACAAATTTCTGAAATTCAGAAATAGATTTTTACAAAACCAAAACAACAACAAAATAAATTTTTACAAAGTAAACTTGTAAAATAAATATGGTTTTTATTTAATTTTTTTTTTTTTTTTTTTTTTTTTATTTGTTGGGAATTTTAAGTTTAAACATGTTTTAGTTACACCAGGGAAATTGGTTGAAAAGGGTTGGGGCTCTAAGCAATATTATTTTTAAGTACAATAATTACTCCTTTCGGATATGATTATTATACAAATGAAAAATCCTGACTTACCAATAACTTAATAAACATGTAATAAAGTTTTGAAGAGACTTACCTGAAATAAAAAAGAGAAATAAGCAATTAGTAAATTTTTATAAGTTTTTAATTAAAAGCTTTGTTTTATAACATGGATATGATCCATTTTGTAATTAATTCGCGAATTTGCAAATATTATATTCTTTTCGTACTAATAAAAGAACTGAATGAAATGTGAGTCAATTCAAATAAATTTGGTAAAATTGAATTGCAATTGGTTTTTAATTCAAATAAATTTGTAGAAAGAATTTCAATTCGTTTCTAAATCAAATGAATTATTTAAAATTAAAATTCCAATTAGTTTGAATTGATTTAATTTAAATGAATTTGTAAAAAGAATTAGCAATTTATTTCCAACTAATTTGAATTGATTTTGTAATTAAATCTACAGTAAGCATCACTGTCGTTTTGTTATTCAACTATGTAACAGAAAGCAAGCATTTCTCACTTTTTCTATATTACCTCTAGTATAGTCCGATGACAAACATTTTTAGATTAGAAATTTCTTGATATACTGGAGTTGAATACTTTAAATGCTTTCCTAAAAAACCGTATTTTTAATCATTTTGGAAGTAGAAATTTCGCATTAAAGTGCAGAATAGGAATGAATTTCTAAACTCATTTAAAGGAAAACTGAACTATATCTATAACACAGTTCAATGAAATCAAGGTTTGTAAATACCATTTAAGCCAATTCGATTGATTTTTAGCTACTGAAATCGAATCTGATATGCCGTATCTATCATTAAAATAACATCTTGAATTTGGGAAAAATTTGATTTACAATTCAAAAGTGGGAATCTAAGGTTAAAATTTTGTTGCCCCTTCTTATTAGATTTTATAAATATATTAACCTCTATTCTGCATTTCGATTACGTTTACGCATTCAGGTCTTCCAATAAAAAACTGACGAAATTCCATTTCTTTTGAGTTACGATTGTACCTACGTTTTTGCAAGCTGTTGTTTATGTGGCGGAGAGTCGAATCGAAATGCAGAATACCAAAGTTGCCAAATGTAGAAAATTTCGATTCGAATTGAAATGCAGAATAGGGGCGATTAAAAGTAATACAGGCCTATTCTGAATAATAAACTCCTAGGGAGTTTGTTCCCTCTCCTATACCTAAAGCATGTAAAAGGAAACAAAGTCACGGAGAATAATTTTTCATAACCGACCTGATAATCTTTAAAATTGTAACCTTTAAATAAGATAAACGTTCTATATAAACGTTTGACCGGGTACCGTCAAAGGTGAGCAATAGATTAATATGTACATATGTATAAATATGTTATGACTATTTTAATATAATTACCTTTAATAAAAAGCTTTATCGGCACGGCTTGAAGTTGGTGTGTCATTGTTTAAGCTTAGGTTTCCTGATAAAAAGGTTTGTTTCCAGTTTTGTTTACAAAAAATACATGTTGTGGTCACTTGTTTCGGAGTTATGACATGTTAAATTACATGCAAAACTACTACAAAACACAAAGAATGTTTAGGAAGGATGGATATAGAAATGTCCAGATTACATAATTGCACTCGCGAGCAGTAGAGCGAGTAGAGCCGGTATTGTGTATATCCAATAGGATAAAATCCTTAAAGGCGACTTAACCTACATATATAATTATATTTTTTAAATATCAACGAACTATCAAGGGATGATCTTCGACCATATTTTATCAATCGAATAGAATTGGAGAAGTAGTACGCCATACGTTAGTAGATTGTGTGGGGATGACCAACACGAATTTACCGGACTTTGTTTTCAAATTCAGAAGTGTGTTTCACGATGTACATTGCAAGATGATGCGTGCAACTTACTTTCTTTAATACGTAATCAAAAACGTTTCAATAAATTTGTGAAGAACAATAGATTTTTTTGTACTGTTGTCAATACACAACGTGACTACCTATTGATAACATTCGAGCGCGTTTTTTTTTTTTTTGTACAAATCTTTACATAAAAACTTAAAACACAAATTTTCACTCTAACCGATATGCAACCAAACGCTTTTTACAACTTCTATAACCAATTGGAATTGGGCAGAAGATGACTTAGATTCTTGGATAAATTGTTACATGATAATTGGTCTATAAGAATTTTCACTGGTTAATGGGACACGCCATACGTTAGTAGATTGTGTGGGGATAAACAAAAACAATTTGCCGGCGTTTGTTTTATAATTATGTGTTCCAGGCTTAAATGGTTCCAGAAGTGGGTTACACGATGATGCGGGCTCAAACATTTCAATACGTAACCATAAACATTTCAATAAAATTTGTGAATACAAGAGATTTTTTATTGGCAAATACACAACTTGACTTTTCATAACTTACGCGCGTTTTTTTTTTTCTTATTTTTTTGTTGCACAAAATTCTATGGGCATAAAAACTTAAAACACATATTTTCACATTAATCCATATGCAACCAAATTCTTTTATAACTCGTTACAAATACACACATTTATTTATATTTATTTCGTTATTTTGTGACGGAATCTTTAATTTTTCAAGTAAAATTTAAAAGACATTAGGTCGCAGCTATTTTTGTTACTTTATTTATTAATATCAGTGGCTTTCCAACTAAAATTTCTTCATGGTTTTAAAGCCATTGTTAAAAATGTCAGAAGACAAATTGGGTTGAAATGTACTGTTGAAAATTTTTATAACGGTTAATTTTCAAAAATAATTCCATAATTGTTTGATTTGTTAAAAATTCTGAAGTATATTTTTAATGTAATTCCCGCTTTTAAATTAACTTTTATTATTTTCGTAATTTGAAGAGTTTTTTTGTAAAATGTGTTAACAGATACGAAAATTGTGAGGAAACTTAACGGTCAACATTTACAATTCGACAGCAGAGTTGTACTTAGATACGAAGTAGGTTGAAGGCTTTGAAAACTAACATATTACAGGTATTCTCAAACTGTAAAAGCAAAGTTTGTTGACAATATTTTTTTCCAGGGAAGGAGAATTCATAGTTTTTGTAATATTTTAAACATATAATTAATTTAAGGATGTTAGTTTGAAGTTCTTTGGTAAATTATTTGAGATTACATGTCAGCCATTAGTAAACTACTTAAAAGTAACGTACATTGTTTGGTTAGTTAGTTAGTTAGTTAGTTAGTAGTTAGGTAGGTAGGTAGGTAGGTAGGTAGGTAGGTAGGTAGGTAGGTAGGTAGGTAGTTAGTTAGTTAGTTAGTTAGTTAGTTAGTTAGTTAGTTAGTTAGTGTTAGTTAGTTAGTTAGTTAGTTAGTTAGTCGTTAGTTAGTTAGTTAGTTAGTTAGTTAGTTAGTTAGTTAGTTAGTTCGTTAGTTAGTTAGTTAGTAGTAGTTAGTTAGTTATAGTTAGTTAGTTAGTAGTTAGTTAGTTAGTTAGTTAGTTAGTTAGTTAGTTAGTTAGTTAGTTAGTTAGTTAGTTAGTTAGTTAGTAGTTAGTTAGTTAGTTAGTTAGTTAGTTAGTAGTTAGTTAGTTAGTAGTTAGTTAGTTAGTAGTAGTTAGTTAGTTAGTTAG